AGTTGAATAAGATCATTAATTGCTTCTTGATTTTGTTCTTCTTTAAATCATTTTGGAAAAACTTGAATTAACATTTTTACTAATGCTAATATACGTGTACGTGTTGGAATAATAATATTTTGAATAAAATCATTCCATAACATATCACTTGGTTTATTTGGACTAAATAAAATAATTAATAATTGTAATAATTTTGTAGTTGTAGTTATTAATTTAAATGAATAAACAAAACATTGTGTAAAATAACTATCTTCACAATTTTTTGAAGTAATAAATTGAAGACATTTTTCTAATGTTGCATATTGAATTATTTTTGCATTACTACCACTTTCTTTAGTAAAAGTAATATATTCATCTGTTGTTGGTAAATCAAACATATTTGCGTTATTATGAGGATTATAATCTTTTTCACTTTCAACCCATGAACTTTTCCCTGTTGAATTTTGACTTTCAACACTTTCTCCATAACTTGAACTTGGAACTGATGAATTTGTTTTCTTTTCAGAACTTTTATATTCTAATACAAATGAATCTTCACTTGCCGCTAATGATGAATCATTAGAACTTAATGATAAACTTCTTCCTGGTGATAATAATGGTGAAATAGCAGATGAAACTTTTGGTATATTACCAATTTTAGCACTTAATGGTGGAAGTTTATCTGAATTACTAAAGTCAGTAGTATGAATCATAGTAGATCCTCTTCTTTTCAATTTAATTTCTTCTATGTAAGTGATTGCTTACATTTATAACAACATTTATTTTCTTTTATTCCTTTCATTAAACATTCTTCACATAATAACTCTCGACATTTAGGACACATCGTTGTCGCAATACACATGTGATTCGGCTCAGTCATATTGAAATTTGATAAAAGATCTACAAAATTAATTTTTTCTTTTTTATAAATCTTCGTGTTTTTATTTTATGTGAAAGGTCTTTTTAAAAAATACTTCAATTTTCTTATGGAATATATACAATAAATATTTCCCTTATTCTTTCTCTTTTTCCCTTCTCACAAATCAACATTTTAGGGTTATTTTTTGTTTGTATTATTCTATGTTTTTGGTAATGTATATCACCAAAGTTACATAAAAATCTTTTTCTTTTTATCTTCGAGTACTTTTTAGTAAAATTCATTAACCTTAAAATAGATTTCTTATGAATTAGTTTCATCTTTGAATTATCAATTTTACTTTATAAAACATTATTTTAATAACAAAATTTTTGATTTTTATGTTAATTTTTTTCAATAACTTTAAGTTGAACATTACTTTTATGTCATGATAAGATAGTGAAAAAATAGAAGAAAATATAAAAGAACTTAAAATTATTAATATAAATCTTTTCAAAAATGACTGACTCTTATGCTGTTCAAAAATTCCTTAAATACGTCACCATAAATAGTCAAAGCAATGATTCAACACATGTTACTCCCTCAACACTCTGTCAATTTGACATGCAAAAACAACTTCAAGATGATTTAAAAGAATTAAATGTGCCATTCATTTTTGACGAAAAAAATTGTATTTTAAAGGCTGAATTACCTGCAACAAATGGTTCTAAACAATCGATTGGATTCTTTGCACATATTGATACTTCTCCAGAAGCTTCTGGAGAAGGTGTGAAACCATTAATTCATCAATTACCAACTGAAGTAACTTCTGATTTAGTTTTACCTTCTGGAACAGTTATTAGTAAAGAAGATATTAAAAAGTATGGTGGAGATGAAATTATCACATCATCTGGAGATACATTATTAGGTGCTGATGATAAATCTGGTGTTGCTATTTTAATGGGAACACTCCATAAAATTGTAAAAGATAATATTCCACATCCAAGAATAATGATCATTTTTACACCAGATGAAGAAATAGGAGAAAGTTGTGACCATGTTTCTATAGAGGATCTTCATCTTGACTATGCCTATTCAATTGATGGAGATGAATTAGGAACTTATAACGATGAAGGATTTAATGCATTTGGAGCTGAATTAACTATTAATGGATATGAAGTTCATCCTGGAGAAGCCTATAATATAATGGAAGATGCTGGATTTATTTTATCTCAATTTTATACTAGCCTTCCAATTAGTAAACGACCTGAAACAACAAAAGAAGATGAAGGATATATTCTTTGTACTGAAATGAGTGGATCTGTAATAAAAGCACATGCTCGTTTTATAGTAAGATCATTCAAAGTTAATGAAATGGAATTCTTTATTCAGTTAATGAAAGATCAAATTTCATTCTTAAAAAGAAAATATACAAAATCATCTTTTGATTTAAAATTTACTGAACAATATCGTAATATGAAACGTTATCTTCCAGATAATCTTCTTGTAGATAAATTAATTCAAGCAATGAAATTATCTGGGGTTGAAGCAAAGAAACAGTATATGAGAGGTGGTGCTGATTGTTCACATCTAAGTGAAAAAGGACTTCCTTGTATTAATATGTTTGCTGGAGGAATGAATTTTCATTCAAGAAGAGAATTCATTCCAGTAAAAGCAATCAATAAAGGAGTTGAAGTTATTGGTCATTTAGTTCAATTATTCTAATTTAATTTTGAATTACTCAATTAGATAGAATAAAAAAGAAATAAAATTTTCAATTATTGGGTGTTAGACTCAATCAAATCAAGAGTTTCTTTGTACAACTTCTGACAAAGAATACCATTATCAATAATTGGATTATGTTTAGCAATTTTGCAATCTGCATAATATGCTCCTGTTTTGATGTCATCAGCAAGAGCACAATGAAGAGTAGTTTGACATGCTTCTTCTGGTGTTTTCCAGAAAATTTTAAAGAATGGGGAAACAAACCACATTAACCATGGACACCAATACCTCCAGAGATTAGAATAAACAAGTCCAGGATGAAGATGAACAGCAATAATATCTGGATGTTCTTTAGCAAATTGGTGAATAAACATTCCAATAGCTAATTTAGATTCAAAATATCTAAAAGCCCGTTGATAATTTTCTTTTTTACCAACAAGATCAAGTGATTTATTGCTCGTAAATAAATGTGCTAATGAAGAAACAGCAACAACTCTTGGTTTTTCTGATTCTTTTAATGCAGGAATTAAATAATTAATGAAAGCAGCATGTGCAATATGATTTGTAGCCATCTGACATTCAAGATTTTGTTTAGAAAGAGTATAAGGACAACACATAATACCAGCGTTAGTAATAAGAATATCAACTTTATGGTATTTAGTAATGATATATTGTGCTGCTTTCTTAACACAATTTAAATCCATCAAATCACATTTAACAAATTCTAATTTATTATTTTTTGTTTCTTTACCAATAATCATGTTTACTCGAATTTGTGCTTCTTCATGTCTACAACAACACACAATAGTAGCATTTAGTTTAGCTAATGCTCTTATGTTTCATATCCAATTCCCCTATTTGTTCCTGTTACTACAACTACTTTATCAGTAAGGTCTGGAAAATTAATATTTACCCCTCCTCGGCAATACATATAAATGTAATACGTAAGAACAATTATTACTACAATACCAATTATGAATGTTAGCATTATTTGATTTAGATTTATTAGTTCCAACTTTATTAAGAAACACTGAAACAAACAATTAGTGTATATTAGTTCCACATTTTAATCACAAAATATAAGACTTTCTTTTTTTTTTTTTTCACCCTTTTTTTATTTTTTTATTTTAGACAAAAAACTTCAAAACTTTGTGTAAAGTAAGATAAGAAAAATGGAGGGATTATTACAATACAGAAATACAAGTAATTCATTTACATTTACCAAACCACAACAATGGAAATTAATAGACAATATCCTTTCATCACATAGTAATGAAAAAACTGATCAACAAATATTTTTTATAATTGATATCAAAATGATTGCATTACATAAGAGTTTGTGAATACTTTTATTGTTTTTTAATGAGATATATAAAATAACACAAATAGCAAAACCAAACCAATTTGCAATTAAATATTCTTTTCAAAACCACCAATCAATAATTGAATTTATTGCCCCATCTGCTGAATTAGCAAAAAAATGGGTTGATTGTATTGTTTGTTCTTTTTCTTAAAGTTATTAGATTGATTTAATGAATAAATAACTAGAACATATCAAAAAATGAAATTCTTTCTCATGAATTTGATAAACAAGAAAAAATAAAACCAAGTGATTTGTCATCTCTTTCTAGTTCTAAGTTGAAAGTTAAACTCAATTCAAAAACTCAAAAAGTTGTTTTAATTCCAAATTAATTATTTTTTTTTTATTTGTTTTATTTAAATTGCATTTATTTTAATTAAGACAACTTTGTTGGAAAGGAACTCTATGATAGGAGTAGAATGTGTTTAAGAAACTGAGGTAATAACCTCTCAGTATGAAGAACCAGTTGCAGATATATCTAATAGTTATCTTTTTTTTTTTTTAAATGATGTTTATTTTAATAACTTTTTAAAAAAGAACTTTAAAATAAATTAATAAATGGAACAACAACAACTAATTATCAATATATCTGTTCTTTTTGCTGGTATTGTAATTGGGGCTATTAGTACTATTTTATTCAGACTTCTTCGCACATGGTTGTCAAAAACTAATAATAACTCTAAAAATACTGAAAGAACTACTTCTCAAAATAAAATATCAGATTTATCTCAAATGGAAAGTTTGGTTAGCAAAGTGGTGGATAAAGCTAATATGTCTAATGACAAAACGAAAATACACGAGTCTGTATCCTGTATATTTGATTCAGTAGAACACGCACTAAAGCGAGTCAATAATGAGATGCAAAGAACAAACACAGTTAGTTCCTCTGTAAAGGAACTTCTTCTTATTGTGTCAACGCAATCACAACAAATTAAAAACCTCATTGGTCAAAACCAACGTGCACAAAATCTGGTGAAAGAAATTTCAAAAAAAACTAAACAAATCCATAATGATGATATGTGTTCCTCACAAACTTGTGAAAGTTCTAGCATTGAGAGTTACCAACGAAGTAGTATTCAGGATACAACAGGTAATCAAAATGGTAATGCTGTTCAAGGCAAATCTAAAAATGAAAACTTAAAACCTGAGCCAATGTATAAATTATACATTTCCATTGAAGAAGCAATGAATGGATGTCAAAAATTGGTACCACTATATGACTCTGAAGGTAATGAAGAAATTATTATTGTTGACTTATATCCAGGAATTAAAGACAGAGAAGTATTTGCATGGGATAAAAAAACAATTGAAGTACGTTATATTAAACATCCTTATTTATCAAGAAGAGGTAATGATTTAGTCATTGATAAAAAAGCAGTTTCAAAAGGAGTTCAACATCCAAGAAGTAATAAAACATTTAAAGAAAAAGATGAAGAAAAATTAAAAAGTCTTGGTGGTTTTCAAGAAGGAGTAGTTATAATTGAATAACTTTTTAAAATTATAAAATACAACTAGTTAATTAATTTATTGAATAAACTAACATTCTTTTTAACCGTAAAGAGGGAGTAATTAATGAAGTTGGAGAAGAAAAATAATCAGTGAAATCAGATAACATTGATAAGTGATTTGATTTGTTAAAGTGGATTGGTTTATATGGAGATCCAACAGAAATAATTGTACCATAATTATTATAAAAACAAACAGATAAACAAGTGTTTTCTTTTCTTGGACATCTATAAATTGTGTTTGGGCTTTGGCCCATAAAAGCAAAAGAATTTTGTCCAACAACTATCCACTCCCATTCTTTAACTGACTGAATAGAAAAATAGAATCCAATACAAAATTGATATCCATCAATAAAAATAATATAAAATTCCTGTAACTGTTGAATCTTTTCACAAATATTTCTGTCCCATTGTTCATTGATATCATCATCAATAATACAATTCATTCTATTAATATTAGGAATCCAATTCTTAATTGTATTTTCAATAACTTCTAAATCATTTGGAGAAGTTGTAATCATTTGAACTGTCATTTCTTCATTAATACTTTCATTATATTCTCCTTCTTTTTTTATAACTTTTTCTTCACTTAAAAGAAGTTCTGTTGAAATATTTGCAATTTGATTATTTATTCCCATTTGTCCAGTACTTCTTCGTTTTAGTGAAATTGTTTTTGCTGTCTCATTATTACAAAACACTAAATGATGGTCTATTGACTGACTATTAATTTCTTCAAAACGTTTGCTTTGTCTTTTTTTATTTAATTCTTTCACTTTAATAAGAGATCGTGGTGAGCTAACTCGTTTAATAAAAGAGCCTCTTCTCTTAGTAATAAGTTCATGATGAATATTCTTAGAGTCTAATACTTTTGTCATTGATATCTTGTTTTCTTCTTTTCTTTCATTCTCTTCTTTTTCAAGTCGTTCAATTTTCTTAAAAAGTTCAATAGTTAAATCTTTCCATTTCTTTAACTTCACAAGACTTATATCATTTCTATTGATACTTTGACGTAGTACCTCAATTATTAAATTTTTATTATGTTCATCTTCTTTTTCTAATGACTCATATTTCATTAATTCATATGTTTTCATTAACTCAGCCTCTTTTCTTTGTTCTTCATAATCAACAATCTTTTTCATAGCATTTTTGATTAGTGTGTCTACACGGCACATTCCTTCTTCCATATTAATAATAAACTACCTTTTTAGTTCACTGAAAATTTATACTAACTTTTATTATTTCTTCTCTTTATTTCAGTTATCTATAACATTATTATTGATACATAAAACTGTGAAGGTTGTTTTGTTTCAATCAAAAATTATGAATTCTTCATTAACTCAAATAATTGAAAAATAAATCCTGAGGTATACTCTAAACCCTCATAAATAGGAAAAAGTGATCCTGAGTAGTTTATAAAATAATGATCACTTTTAACATCAACTAAACACTTATTAAAATCACTAATTACCTAGAATAGTAACTTGAATCATTTCCTTCTATTCTCAAAAAATTATTTAATAAAACAATAGAATTTCAATTAAAAGAAATAAAAATTATTTCAAGTATTATTTTTATTTTATTAACTATCAAAATATTCTGTTATTAAATAATTTAAAATAAACAAAAATTGAAGAACTCTTTATTTTACCTTTATAAATAAATTATTTCTATTTAAGGAATAAATTAATAAGATCTTTTAACCCTTATTCAATATTCTTATTATTTTTATTCTATTCTACTATCACAATTCTTATTGAACAATCTTGAACAAAATCTAAATGAATCTTTTTGCTCAATGCATTGATCTACTTTTTATAACTATCAATGACACACCTTAGATTTTATAATTATTACTTTCATTACAACACAAAAAAATACTTCAGTTAATTATTGTAATTTAAACTATTTATTAACAAAACTCATTTATTAAGTTAATTTCTATTTATCTTAATAAACAAGTAATTCTTAATTTTTTTTAATAAAAACAAAATACCTTAAAGAAAATGTTATAAAAAAAAATCTTTATCATTTTAATTACTTAGGCTTTAGTTGTTCTTTTTAAAGCGATTTTCAAATGTCTCATTCTTCCAGTTCCTTGGGTTCTTCTTCTAAGAGCTTTGTATCCCCATGCATATTGTCTCATTTTAGCATCTGGATATCCACATGAAGCACATCTTTGTTTTTGTAAATGCCATGATCTTTTTCCGCATCTTTTGCAAAGAATATGAGTTTTATTGTGTCTAGTACCTCTACAACTGGTTCCTTTAGTCATTTTATGTTTACTTTGGTATTCAAGTTATTCTTTTAGGGTTTTTTTAGATTTAATGAAATCGAAGATATAGTTTTGTTATAATTTATTAAAATTATATTTCTGATAATGAAAAGTTGACTGGAAAAGATGAGGAATGAATGACATGATAGGAAGAAAAGGCAAAAAGTCTTATTTCGCTCTGAAAGAAATTAATGAAATACAACAACGTTATGACAACAAAATTGGATTACTTATTAGTCATAACCTTAAAAGAGAACGTGGAAGTAAAAAAGAAGTTAATGACTTATTAGACAGATTTTTAGTAGAAGATGAAAACAAAAATTTTGAAGATAGTACAATTAGACATGAAGAAAAAGATGATGTTGACCAACAACTAGCAAAAGAATTAGAAGCATTAAAGAAAAAGAATTTTATTTATGAAACAGGTGTTGAATGTATGTTGTATTGTGAAGTACCTTATGATGCGATTCAAGTTGTTTCACAATTATTTGATGGAGCAAAGAAAGAAAGGATAGTAATGAAAGAAACACAAAAAATTGTACCTTTACAGAAAGTTGATATGGCATCTTCTATGGAAAAACTTCTCAAATCAGTAAAAGAATTATTAAATGAGATTCATAGAGAAAATTATAACACTTTTGCTATTTCATATAATTGTCGTCATAATTCAAATTATAGTAGAGATATAGTTATTAAAAATGTAGCTGATTTGATGCCAAAAGAATGGAAAGTAAATTTAAAAGACCCAGACGTTACTGTTATGATAGAAATATTTTATAGAGGATTTGGAGTATCTTTTGTAGAAAGAGAGGTTATGAAGAAATATAATCATTTCAATATTCAACGATATATACAATCTGAATAACATTTTTAAAGTAATAATTGTTATTTTGATTTCAAAAAAGTTCAGGTTTTTATTAGAGTTAGAGAAAAATAATAAAAAAATAGAAAAGAAATAAAAAAGAATAATAAAAGAGAGGAAATGAACTCAAATATCAGAAGGGAAATTGAATGAACGCACCAGTCCTTGTTCTTAATACTAATACTAAAAGAGAGAATGGACGTAAAGCACAGTTGGCAA